GGGGTTAAGGTGGCCACTTGGCAGCAATGGACTGTAAATTAAAAGCTAGCTTCCCTTTTTGTAACCTGCTGCCTGCTAATTGGCAGGTATTGGAGCAGGGCACCTCGCCCCCAGGGTGTCTTGGAAATTGTGCGGCAGCCTGAGCAGACCAGGGAAAACCTCCTCAGTGTAATTTATTTGAGCACATGTGGGGTTGTATCTCATGCTGACAGCAGAAAGGAGATGAAGAAAGCATTTTGGGAAGCTTCATACAGTCAGGCTTTGGGTTTGAAGGTCACAGGTGAGGTTTGGAGCTTTCCCTGCGACACCTCACCAGGGGAATCCTCCTGGTGGCATCTCCATACACATGTTTGAGAGACGGCCTGTCCTGGCAGCTTGCGGCTCCATGACACCTGCTTGGTGACAACAACAGCTTGGGACACTTGCCAATGAAGTCCTTGGCCTCAAACACCACGTAGTGCAGTGCATTGCCCCAGCACCAAGGACCTGCCACCTTCTAAAGAGCCCAGAAGTCTACTTCAAGGTGCAACAGCTTTCCTCCAGCTCTGCAGGGACTGCTGTGGTTATCAACGCACCTTCTGGAGGATATCTCCAGCTTTCCAGCACTGCCAGCCCTGACGGAAAGTGTCTTTCCCAGCAGCTGAGTGAAGAGGTTGGAGCAAACTCCCACAAGAGCCATGTCCTAGCCTAGACCTCACATTCTACCTAAACTCAGAGTTTAAAGCCTCCTTAAGTATAATGTTGGAATAAAATGCTGAGGCGAGTCTTAAAGTTTTACATACATGAAAGGCAGCTGCAAAGCTGAAAAGAAGAGATTGGTCGCCATATCCGCTGGGAATAAGATGAGAAATGCAGTCAGCAAAGGCGCCTAGGACAGGATGCTAGAAAATCTCCTACGGATAGGGAGCGAGTCACCAGAGAAATATACATCCATTATCTTCCACCCTGTTTAAGGACAAGTCAGCGAAGTGCCTTGGGAGGAAACTGGGGAGTGACCAGCAGACCTGGGCATGGCCATGTCTTATTGGCCTCTCCTCTACCAACTCTATCCCAGCTGAAACCATGACACTGCATTAGTGCTTCCCTGTCAGCAGTGGCATGTGAGCTCCCATGCAGCGGTGGAGGAGGCAAATGGGATCTTCAGCTCTGCAAGGGGAGGGAACAACAAGGTAATTTGTTACCTCTGCTGATGGTGCTGGGAGGATAGACGGCAATGTGAGTGACTTTTTATATGGGATGAAGATAGGGTGCAGAAAAGAGCAACAAAAATATTGAGGCTGTTTTCTTTATCGAAGACGGAGCAGCATCTGGTTGAAGTCAGTCACAAGTGCCTCTTCCCAGGGAGAAAATATAGAAGAATAAAGTTCTCTCTAAGGGAAAAAGCCCAGGAGAACCAAGGGACTGAACTGGCACCTTCCTGTCAGGCCATGGTGCCCACATCGCCTGAAGCCCTGGGATTGCCTGCAGCCACCTCCACCAGGATACATCCACAGCCCTCCCAGTCATTCCCATGTAGTGTCTTCGAAGACCTGTTTTTTCAGGATGTTGTTCTCATCCCTTCTGCGGCAACTCTGGAGGCTCGTGACCACTTTCCTGTGGTTACAGCCCAAAACCCACTCTTCCTTGTGGAGCTTCCTTTGCTTTGCTGGTGACAGGCCCATCCCATCTTGCAGAAATGGGGCATCCTCAGGAAGGGTTTCTCCTATTTTGCCTCCGTATTGACCTTCCCCCAGGAACAGGGGGAAGCTACTCCTCCATCCTCGTGAAAGCTCAACCCTGAGGCGTGCTGTGCAGATACCTTACAACTGCATCTCCCTTATGAAGAAAGGCTGAGAGAGCTGGGACTCTTTAGCCTGGAGATAAGAAGGCTGAGGGGAGATGTTATTACTACTTACAAATATCTAAAGGGTGGGTTGAAGGAGGATGGAGCCAGACTCTGCTCGGTGGTTCCCAGTGACAGGACGAGGGGCAATGGGTGCAAGTTGGAACATAGGAAGTTCCGTTCCAACACACGGAAAAACTTCTTTACAGTTTGGGTGACCGAGCACTGGCACAGGCTGCCCAGGGAGGTTGTGAAGTCTCCTTCTCTGGAGATCTTCAAAACCTGCCTGGATGCAGTCCTGAGTAACGTGCTGTAGGCAATCCTGCTTTAGCAGGGGAGTTGGACTAGATGATCTCTAGAGGTCCCTTCCAACTCTGAAAATTCTGTGATTCTGTGATTCTGTGACCTGTGTACAGTGATGGACTCCTGCTCCAGCCCTGTACTGACCCAAACCTCGTGTCTTTGGAAATACTGCCTGTCTTGGGGGATGGACTTTTAGCATTGATCTTCATTTGTGCTGTTATCAAAGGACTACTATTCAATGCTGTCAAAAGCCAGAAAATAATGGGGTGTAAAGTGCTTGTCTTTATGAACAGAACAGACCCTCACCTGATCATACACGCCCGGGAAATGAGGGCCCCAGCTCTGCTCTCAGCTGGTGTTTTTCTTCCCAAGGAAACCTCCAGTTTGGTCTTTCCAAAGTCCTTTCCCTCCGTTATCAAACCTCATGTGGGCCTGTGTGAGCGTGTCTCTCACTGCAAAAACCTGTGGCTTTGTAACCGTGCCATGGTTTGGTTAAAAACCAAATATTGCACCTACGTCCAAGGCCAAGCAGAGCGTTTTAAATGCAGAGCTGCCGATCACCAGGCAGGTTTTGTTTGTGCAAGTGGTTGTGGCCTGTTGAAAAAACCCTCGTTGCCACATCCAAATGTGGTTAGCCAGCACAGGCCAAAAAAAAAAAAAAAAAAATTTAATAAAGATCTAAGGCCTAAGGGAGAATTTAAGAACAGTTCATCATCTCTGAGAGCTCCAGGGAGATTGTTTCTCACAGCAATTAGTAGACAAGATGTTGATGGTGCTGGACTGATTTAAAGCATTAGAGCTTTGGAGGTGGCAGGTGTTGGATTGGGTTGGAGCAGAGGTTTACACTTCTGGTCCAACCACAGAGAGTCAGGCAGGGACACAGGCAGAGGGGGACGTGCTTGCTGAGTCTGGGCCAGCATCACCTTCCACAGCAGTTGGATAATTTATCTTTTTTTTTTTCTTTTTTGCAGGAATTTTATACAAATTGCCTTGTGTGAAGTACAAGGTGGGGGATGATGTGCTCTCAGCCATGGGTGCAGCGCTGAGGCCCTAACCCAAACACCAGCCTTCCCCTGGTGTTTTTAATGCTATCTGGATGGCAAGCTGAGGGCTGCGACTCGAGAAAACGCAACATGAAAAAATCAAGTATCAGGAAGTTTAGATGATGGCCGGTTAATTAATCATTTGAAGACTGTAACGTCTTGAACTGTAGTTTGTCAGTTATCTTAGTCATAATTGCAAGACTGGTTTTTAATACCATTTGGCAAAGTTACTAATTTTTTTTAAGAGGTGGCATCACATGTGGTTTTACTCCTTGTTTTTTCTTGTTAAGTTACATGTGGTGAATCTTTATAGGTGGTATTTCAGGGTTTCTTTAAGAGAAGGAAATTAACTTACAGCCGTTAGGTGTATTAAAGCGATAATTAAGACATTCCACTGCATTATACAGCCTGTCTCCTAACAAAAGGGGTTTTTTTTCAGTATTTTTTATGTTGTATTTGAAAAGAAAGATCTTCTTAGTTTTTTTTTTTTTTTTAATTCTTCTTGACCATTTTTTCCCCCAGGCCTTTTCCAGGTCTCTGGCTGCTGCCCTAGCACTCTTCTCCCAGTGTTACAGCTGGTCACAGCTCCCTCTCACGCGTCCTGTGGCTGCCTCTTCCCTCTTTAACTAGTTCATTGGCAACCGTTCATGCCCTTGCCCCGCAGCCCTCGGATCACCTGGATCCCCTCTGATCTCAGGCCCTTCAGCAAGACCGTGGTGAAACCCATCAGAGAAGCCCCAGCAGTAACTGCGAGGCAAATGCCATGTAGGTCCATTGGCAAGCAAAGGAACAGTGCCAAGAGCAGAAATCAGCTAACACGCAAGTAGAAACTGTTTCTGTGTCATGGATTGGCTGAAGCATGGAAGCTGTGAAGAGACCGGGGAAAAGGTGACTCGTCCTTCCTGTACTGGTGAAGAGAAGAGGAAAAGGTGACTTGTCCTTCCTGTACTGGTTTTTAACATTGGTTGGTTTTTTTTTCCAGCTCACTGCTTTCGTTCTCCCTGGTGGAAGATGGAAAACTCCTTGTCAGAAATTAAAAAATAAATCTGCGCTGGGTTCACAGTCATGAAAAGGGTTTGTTGAAGCTGCTTTAAAAAACAGTCCTACAGAAAGGTTAGTAAATCAGTGAGTAATTAGCTGTGTCCTTTCATAAATAGTGTAAAAGATGACCAAAGTGTCTCAGTGTCCTTGAATGAGGCAACAGGACCCGGAGGCAGCTCATGCTGCAGTGATCCCCGCAAAGCAGAGAAAGGATGGAAAGTCCCAGGGCTGGAGGAGCTGATGATCCTGGGCAAGGAGGCTGCTCTGACAGCCCGAGCAAGGCCAGATACTTACCAGCATGGGTCTTCTTAGTGGAGTGGTGATGGGGAAGATTAATGCACAATTATGGATTCTGATTACATTACTGTAAAGGTTAATACATACCAGAGTGTCTCTAAAGGTGTTGGGCTGTTGAACCTCCATCCTTGAAGACATTCAAAACTGCTGCACCAGGCCTTGAGCAACCTGATATAAGCAGGGTATCGGACCAGAGTCCCTTCCCAACCTTGCTATCCTATGAGTTGGCCACTTTTGCCAATACATGTAGTTCATAACCACCGGATTCAAGATCATGGAAAAGTAGACTGCATTAACAACTAACTACTGAGCAGGTCAGTTAAAGAGAACTCAAGAAACTGTAGGAAGCTACTAGCAGGGTCTGGAGGCAGGATGCAAGTTATAACACAGGTGGTAGGGTCAAAAAACAGCAATGAAACTATTCCCAAGCAATACTTTTCCTTTATAAAGAGAGCCAAATAAATACTTGTTGCTGAAAAAAAACCCACCAAAAATCAAAAAGGAAACAAAAGGGAAACTGCTTGCTGTTCCAAACATCTCCTTTTGGCTTTGAGGCAATCAACATCAGGGGTGGCAAGTGGATGGACTTCGCAACCAGAAAAGCTGTTAAAAAGGAATCTTGAGCAACCAGAGTGGGCTATGGGGCCAATAACACAAAGGATATTTCAAATTTGTGAGGAACCTGAAACAAGAAAGAGTCATAAGGATTTTTCTTTTATCTGCTACTAAGAGCAAAGCTGTGTTATTTTAGAAATCAGCGCAGAGGCTGAGACACCTATCACACACCCAGGAAGATGGAAACTCTTAAGTTCAAGGGTGCTCTCCCGGCTGGAGTTCGTAAGCGCAGATGTTTAAGGGATTAATACCGTTTCACATGGCAGCAGCTCTCCCGCAGAATTACCAAGAAAAAGAGGCAACAAACTTCCCTCCCTAGAGATGGCTTCTTCCTGCAAACCTCCACGCTGCTCCCTTTGAACCAGGCAGGAGTTTCGACACTGAAGCATTTAAGTGGTGTTGGGTGAGCGTCCTGCAAGCATTTGGTTAGAGCAGGGCAGGGCTCGTTAGATTGACTTGTTTTAACACGTTTTCCAATGCAGAAGAAAAGAGAAAATAATTAGAAGTAAACTCTGTGTTGCTGTTTCAAACATTGTGACCCAGCATCGTTTTGATAGTCTCTAACAATGGCATAAATGAGCTGAGTAATGTGACCAAGCATCTAGAAAAGCCTTATTGCAGAAAATAAGGATGCTAAATCACATGATGCCTCATGAGATAGAGTATTTTGCCAAGTTACTGCTTCAAGGGAAGTGAGAATACTTGCAGTAAGCGGGATGTTGCTTCATCAGTTTCAGGCATTCAGGGTTCCCACTGCCAAGAACAACCCCTTCTTCCCCACATCCTACCTTGCTATTTTAATTTTTACTTGGTGATCTCTACCAAAGGCTGGTGGTTACCTCTATTTGCTGCCAGAGAAGGCTATTTTTTCTCCTTAAAGGGAACACTCATGGGGAAATGGGAAGGTTTTGGTGCTCTTTTTAACTACTAGCAGACAATCCTGTAGAGTCAAATGCACAAATCAAGAGCAAAATGAGAGTAAAACATCAGGACAACCTTTCAGTCTGTGTTGAGTTTAAACTATTGCTGATCCCCAACCCTAATGTACAATACTCATCTTTGTTCCACATGAGTTGCAAGACCGAAACACCAGCGTACTCAAGGAAGAGATTTTTTTTGGCATGGTGAAATGAAGATGATCAGAAGGATGGAGCACCTCTCATATGAGGACAGGCTGAGAGAATTGGGGTTGTTCAGCCTGGAGGCTCTGGGGAGACCTTATTGCGGCCTTCCAGGACCTAAAGGGGGCCTACAGGAGAGCTGGGAAGGACTTTTTACAAGGACATGCAGTGACAGGACAAGGGGGAATGGCTTTAAACTTGAAGAAGGTAGGTTTAGAATAAATATTAGGAAGAAATTTTTCACTGTGAGGGTGCTGAGGCACTGGAACAGGTTGCCCAGAGAAGTTGTGGAAGCTCCATCCCTGGAAGTGTCTAAAGCCAGGCTGGATGGGGCTTTGAGCAACCAAATCTAGTGGGAGGTGTCCCTCCCCATGGCAGATGGGTTGGAACTCGATGATCTTCAAGGTCCCTTCCAACCTAAACCATTCTATGATTCTATGATTCTATGATATGTCAGAGCCTTTTGCGTCGTGCCTCTAGGACTGGTATTCAAAACAGCTCGATGGGCCCCTGGGAAGATGTGGCTTTTTCATGTACTGGCGACCAGGTTGCATAGATGACCTGAGTTCGTTCAACTCTGTCTAGATACTAGCACATGTGCTGTCTCACAAGAACTGCTTGGTCCACCTCTCACAGCCAAATACCCAACACGTGCATTGAAGACTTGTGTGTAGGAAGCAAACGATGACCACCTACAACAAACCAAAAGGCAGATCAACCTGCTTATGTTAACTGCAAAGATTTAAAGATGTGATTTTGTCCTCCTTACCATGCACACAGCTTTGTCATATAATTCATTACATGATTCAGTGCTCCCTAAGTATACTCGTATCCATGATCACTTAGGCTAGATCAACGCTGGAGTACTATTTTATAGCATATAATAGTTCTTATGCATTAACGCAGCTAAAAAATGTGACTTTTTCCACTGGGAAGGATTTCTTTTATTGAGACCTTCCTATAAATGTCATATTCTGTTTCTTCATGACTGTTTAAGCCTTGTTTTCCAGCTGCTGCCTTCTACGAAATGAGGCTAATAACAGCACTGGTAACAGCTGGATGATTAATTCTTTAACAACTGTAAAATGTTCTGGCAAGAACAGAAGAGGATTTCACCATGTATTTCTCTTTGATGTTTCTACATTGAATAAGTTCTTCCTTGAATGCAGTTGATCTCTGCTGCCTGAAGATGTTGTGTCCTTTCTCGCCCCTTCCCCCACCACTTTCATTTGTTTCATAATAAAGTAGGGACTGCTATGACATTTCTTAATTTTAACCCTGAATAATGGAATTTTGAGTACAGGGAGCCCTCAGGCACACATTTTACAGGTCTTTCCAATGGTAGGGTCAGCCGGATTGGATGAAAACCC